AAATATCTCTCAAAAAGAGATATCTAGGGATCAACCCTATATAAAAGATACCCCGAAATAAAGAAATGAAAAGGTAAACCAAAACATTATATACAGATAACTGAAAACTATTTACAATCTGCTCAATAAATATTCATGTAATTCCTTAATCTGTTACGAAATAAATTCAATGAACCTACGTGTACAATGTCTTTAGGTAAATTATTCCACATATTAACGATCCGTACAAAGAAAGAAAATTTATAGCAATTTAGAATGGCCACTTTTACGTAAAGCGTATAATCATGTTGGCTCTAGTTCGATTACATTTAGTAAGTTCGAAAAAGTCAGAAAAAGGAAGACTATGTATTCCCAGAACTACCTTATAGCAGTGGATCAGAAATAAAAACTCTCTACGTTTCTCCAAACTTTGCAAACTCAATAAGCGGCAGCGGTCTTCATAGCTCATTTCTCCACGCTTTTGCTCTAACGCCAATCGGGATGCCCTCCTTTGTATTTTTTCAAGGATTCGATATCCTTTTTTGGTAGGGGCTCCAGACAGGGGCAGCCTATTCGAGTATAGCTCTTACTAACGACTTAAAAAAGCAAGAAAACGCATACCGGTTATCGTTTCCAAGTGATCACCTAATGCCTAGTTATACCTAAATTCGACTGAAATTTGATGGAAATATTCACTGGAAGGTTGTTTAACGATACCTAGATGAACAGCCCACCTAGAACTCCCGCTGACATTGAACCCGGGGTTGGTGTGACCTGTTAGCTCGGAGACTGTTTTTTTCTGGGCCATGTTCACAAGATTTTCTCGCTTTGGCATTGTTGCGAGCGAAAGAGGATTTTCATGCTTCCCCAAGAATTGAAAGTTCAGTTAAAAAAAGGAAGAACCTCGCGCTTTCTTTGAAAAACGCCTTTTGTTTATGGCTTTTTAAAAGTGATAATTGTTTTGAAAACATTTTAAATTGACTTGGTAACAAAACTTTGTAACAGTTTGACGATAGTTGTTATGCTTACGTAGATGCGAAACAAAGTCACTTAGCCTCGTTTTCAACTCGCAATTCCACGCTAAATACCACGTTTTATTAACCAATCAGAATGCGAGATTTTATCCAATGATGGCATTCTTTGTGAAATTTTAAAACGGAACGTAGGCAAATCTTCGAAGATTAATCGTCGTGGAAAATAAACAAAACGTCCGTATGATATCCGACTGTTTTTCTGTTTTTTGTCTTTCTTTTACGAGAAAGTCCTCGCATGGTCATTTAAAGGCCCCTTTTCAACCGAGATGCCTTGCACGCCCAAATCATTTTCATATATGAAAAATACGCTATTTTCCTCGAAGTTGCAGAACCGCTTTGATATCTTCTCCCATCTTACTAATTAGGGCTTTCAAAGTTCCATCTTGAATCATGTGCGAACAACAAACTATCGTAGTATCCATATCAGTAAATAGTTTTTAATTCTTACATGTATGACGTGAAAAACGTCATTTGAAAAGTTGATGCCGCCAAAGAAGCGGTCTAGAGGAAGGCCAGGTCTGCCCGGCTCGCCAAAGGTTATTCGACTTCGAGAGTCTGTGTATGATTTATGGAGGGCAAGGAAAACAACCATGGGTTTCGGTAACACTACAGACAGTGCTTTTGCAGAAATGTTATTGCATTGTTCCTACGATGGAACTAGAGACTCCGGGGAGATTTTTTCGAGGTGAGAATAATTATTTGACTGATTTTTACTCGAGATCCTGAGATATGTATGTAAGCGATCTCATTTGTACAAGTCATTATTCTATAATTGAAATGCGTAAAGTAAATCCGTTTTGGCCAATATTGGTTATTTGTTTATATTTTATTTAGTCACTTAATCAACATCAAGTAAGTTTTGTACAAGTTTTATACACAGACTCGATCTATGATTTTTCAGTCGCAAATATTTAGCTGCAAATTTGTTTACTGTGTTCTTCACCAAATCTTTGTTTTTCTTTTTAATAGTGTTTGTGGATGACTATCAGAGTTCGCCATTTAACAATAGCGCGATTCCAAAACAAAAACAAACGACTGCAAAGGATCTCAGATGAAAATGGGCCTTTAACTCGCATGTGCTTGTCATACCAGAACTGGTGTTTATTCAAAAGTGTACATGGGCTTTTTTCCTCCTCAGTTGATGGGTTTCACATCGTAACAGTTATTCAAAAAAAATTTTTTCAAAGTTTGCTCGGAAGCCTTTTTAAGTTACCTTCACAAATAAAAATGTTTCGGTGAAGCTTTCTCTTTAATTCAAATAAGCTCTGTTTTCTTTATCATCTACTCGCTAAAAAATAGTTATGCTAAGTTAATTGATGAAGGATTTTCTTGTAATTGAACTCGTAATTGTAGCCCTAAATCATTCCGGTTCTTTTGGCGATCATTTTGTTAAGTGTTAGAATAAGATAAAAGTGTTATTTATCAGCATAGGTCAGTCCGTATTGGGAAAAACTGTGTCCTCTGTCTTGAGAACCACCCTTGAGCTACGGCCTCGGGCAGTATCCAAGACTTCGGGCACACTTTTTCCTAATACGGACCTTTTTGAAGAAAGCAAGGACTCGTCAAAAAATTATCTAACCTCTATCCAAGCAGTGATGCCATTGTGAACAGGACTTAGGTTTCCTCCTTTAGTTGAGTGATTAGCAGAGACGAGTACATTTGGGACTGTATGATAAGTATGGAGGAAGGAAACATCCTGAAAAGAAGGATAAAAAACACATATTCTGGGATCGGTGCCTACACTAAAATTAGCGCCTTAGTAAATTTAAATGGAATTATCAACTAAGAAGATCCCTCTTGAATTTCTTCGCCCCCCTCATTCATTTTCTTCAAAAACAATGATAATAATGATGATAATAATAGTAAGGATAACAGTAATAATGACAACAATTAACATTGGTTGAGTGTGGCAATATATACTAATAACGTTAGAGATGTTTCTAAGGTTTAGCAATTCTCTTTCTTTTTGCGAGAGTAAAAAGTCCATAAGCACCTAGATCCTTAGAACTTCGGCCAGACCGTCATAAATAGTGAGTAGAGCAAGGATATCGTTATGATTGCTAATTAATTTGCACTAAATAAACTACCCATTAACCAAACAAATTCGGCGTACTCACTAACACACAAACATGATCGAAATTAGATGAGGCGATGGCAAAAACCTCCAATGATTATTTACCTTGCAGAAGGCATCATTTTGATCGTCAGGAGGGGATTTGTTGTTAATAAAGGGAACCATGCCATGTTCTAAGAAGGGGGGCTTGTGAAGATCCACAAACGCAAACCAGTTCTGTCAAAAATACGAAAAAATGCAAGAGTGTTCCTTGCAACTTATATGACGCGAGATTGTTGAATGAAAATATGGCTAAAGATACATTCTTCTATGCATTATGTTATGTAGTGCGTACATGTTTGTTGGGATTCATAACTAACTAAATGATCCCTAAACGAAGCAATCATGAATACTGTTTTGCCTTAAAACGATAGGGGGACGCAATGGTCATGTTTTGGATTATCCCTGTTTTGTTTTTTTTTAAGCAATAATTCGCATTCAATTTTACTTTGTCAAATATATCTTAACGCAGTTGAGAATTTTTCTGCTTTATATCACTTGGAACCCATTTTGGTTAGTGGAGTAGCCATTATGCTTAACACCAGTTGGTTTGTGTTATGTATACAACAAGAATTCCTTTATAAACTGTACCATTGAGAGAGAATTACAAGAGTAAGTAGTTATTTTGCGGAAAGCGTTAAGCCTGTAAACCAAAACTTACAACGGAAATGTCCTTGTGTGATCCTGCGTAGTTTTGTAGCTCCCTCAAACAAACTTTGCATGAGGATTTTGTGACATCTTCAATCCAGACACTAGCTGCGTCACGCTTGAGCCCAGAATGATGATGTTCGGCAGTTACAAATACAGAAGGTGAAATGTTAAACTTTCCCTGAAATTGAAAAAGAAGTTAGATAGCTTAAACGTGTTAGATGGTTAACTTTTTCTTTCTCTAGTCGATGATAAGATTAGCGAAAAATTTAAGTCAAGCTCTACTTAACAAATATTTCCAGGACGCCGCGAGTCTGTTCAATTAAAGATCATATACGACATCATAATGTGGCCGAAAGTTAAACGAAGCGTCATACGAGGCTCAGCCGTGTGTATCATTGATTTCATCACCGCATTACTGAACAGAAACACTGTAACATGAAATCTATTTGTTCAATGTTGAATAATTATTCGCCAATGGCGAAGTAAATGGTGTTAGATAATTCCGTGACGGGTAGAGGGATTATTCAAAGGTACCCACTAGGTCTGAGGCGAAAAGTTGTTCCAGTATAATTGCTCAGGTACTTTCGAATTCTGTAAGTATTCGTTCTGATGTTGAAACCATTTTGTTTCAGTTGTTTTAATTTCTCATGACCATATCGAGATAAAGAGCCAGTTTCGGCTAGAATTTGATAGCTTCATTAACCCTCTGTTTCTTTTAAAAAGTGCTACTCTAAACTTACATGTAATATTACCCTTTTTGCTCTACGAAATTAAATTTATCTTCATCATGGCGATTTATGACGCAATTCTCGACCAGTCAGAGCACGCGCATCTTTACAATCACCGGGGCAATTATACTTAAAACATATATCCAATACATAAGGAAGTACCAATCAAAATTCACCAAGCATTTAGCTTATCAGGTAACGGGTTCAGCGAGGCAATAATGTGTTCAAATATTGCTTGGGGTAACCAGTAGCAAAATGATTTTCTATAGCTCTTAGTGAGAGAACGACGAGCGGCTGACTTGGTTCAGATTCTAGACCATACCTTAACAGGGCTTCTCTTCATCCCTGATCATGATTAAAAATAGTAATTTACCTGCACACTGACAGAATAGGGAAAGGGGATGACTGCAATTAAGCTATCATTCCTTCCTGGAGGGATGGCAAGTGATGTTGTACAAACCGGGATAGGGTCCGTCACTATTGGATCGTCAAGCTCTTGTAACTCAACCTCAGCCTTCTACCGGAGCATATCGTTTCAATGTATGTTTGTGCAGGCGTAAAACAGGGACCTACATCAGGCTTTTTTTTAGCTTGACACAACCGTGATTCTGAAAGACTCCATAAGATGACACAAAAAAGAAAATTGTTATTTACCGATGGAAAATTCACAGCTTTACAAGTCGTTCCAGTCCACCACTGTGATATCCACTCTTCTCCTGCCAAACCACCCACCGGAGCTCCCTGATACGCCATCCAATCAACCGTGACATTTGCATTCGACTTTCGCTCACTGAAACCTGCCGCCATAACACATGCGGTGAATCGATTGTAACTGGTGTTCTCAACCCAAGACACCACCGCATCGTGTACATATGACTTCTCACTGGTGTCCATGTAATTGACAGTAATCTGAACTTCAATGGGTTTGTCAGGATAGAACACGTAAGGTTGTAGGTGGATCACCTCACAATGGAAATATCCCAGGGTTGGAATGTGGGGCATGTGTTTGCGACCGCGCTGGAATGGAAAAACTAAAAAAAGAAAGAAAGTAGAGAGAGTAAAGAGAGAGAGGGAGAGAGAGAAAATCGCACTGTTTCTTTTTCGTTCAATTTACCGCGATTTTACTGAATAAGCACGTTAATAAGCTAGCTTTGATCACCATAAATGTTAAAAATTTAGTTATTTTCCAGTCTTTCAGTCTCTCTGTCCCTCAGTCACAGTCCGTCTGTCTGTCAGTTCGTCAGTCCATCAGTTCATCAGTCGGTCAGTCCATCAGTCCATCAGTCCATCAGTCCATCAGTCCATCAGTCCATCAGTCTATCAGTCCATCAGTCCATCAGTCCGCTATCTTTCCTTCAATCCGTTCGTCAGTCCCTCAGTTGGTTGGTCAGTTAGTCAGTTAGAAAAACGAATAAAGAAGGTAAGTTTCTAAAGAAACTGAGGTGTTGGGTCGTCCCAGGATTATAAAAATATAATATGGTTTTATTTTAGGTATGAGCATATGTAAATGAGTATAAGCGCATTGTAATTATTCGTATAAAGCCTGCTTACGAGCCAGGTGACCCATCGGGTCGGCGCTTAACTCCGGTTTCCGTAGCATGAAGCGACTTAGTTGATAATGATACTGATCTTTCCTCGGCGCTCTGACTAACGAAAAAATATCGGGCCAGACCTTGTTATTTAGTTAGTCTTTTGGCTATGCTAAGTTTGGTCAAGCCAAGCCAAGTCAAACGGGAGCATGTTTTAGTGCTTAGCCATTGCGAACATAGATATTTCAAATTTTTCAGCCTAGTGAAGAGCTAAAGCGTTGGCAACTCCTACCTTCACAACGACCTGGATGTTGAACGGTAAAATTACGCCGCAAAAGACACGTCTCTCGTTTGAACCAGCACTCGTTGCCGTACGTTGTACCATTTGACGAACACACGGGCTCGTGGAGGGGCGGACAGAGATCTAAACACACACAGCGAGCGTCATGCGGTCCAAAGGCCTTACATAGGCCATAGAAATAGCAGGTAACGTCCAGGCAGGGATCCAAGTCTTGTTAAGAGAAAGGCATACAATTATTTTCTCAAGTACATTTGTTTTATTGATGTAATCGTTTCACAATATCAATGGAGCACATGTCATACTTTCCGGAACAAAGATTATTTGTCTCACTTAAAACATATTCAAGTTTCAATTGGAGACATTTAGGCGATGCGAGATCTATGTTTGCCTCAAAATCGTTAAATGAACGTGTCGGAAAAATATCATGCATTATAGCACTCACCTCCTACAAAAACATAATCAATTGAAATGGCATTGTTACTTTCCTCATTGCGCTTGTATCTTCTTACACACAACTTGGTATCTTTCCTTGAGGTGAACTTTAGTCAAGATTAAAATATAATTTTCCGTCAAGTTTGTTACTTAACTGCCAAAAATACAGCAATGGGAACAACAAGACGCTGAAATAAGTCAAGAGCAAGAGTTTCATCCTCATCTATTTAAAAGCTTTTAAAATACAGTATTCCTATGTGAAATGCTTAACATTAAACAAACCGCTGAGTTGAAAACAAAACAAAACAAAATACGCTTAAGTAAAGAGAGGTCAATTACGATAACATGGTAAACATTGTTTCTGTTGAAGAATTATAAATTGATATACAATTGAGAGATATCAACTAACATTCTTCTATCTTCGCCATAGGGCCAAAAAGATATCTTAAGTTGTTCCAGTTTTTTAAAGTAAATTTTTTTTCTATGTTTTCAATAACGTCTATCGAAGACAACTTTTTAATTGTAACGTGCCTTAAAACAAAACAAACAAACAAAACGCACAAAAAAAAAGACAAAAAAACACAAAAAAATAGATATCATGGTGACATCTTACCTCTACCCAAGCTGTAATGGCACTGCATTGAGAGGGAGGAGCACCCGAGTGGTTGTTCATATCACCCTGCTTTGGTGTCACCACTACAACAGGAGGAGCATAAAATGGATCGGTGAAGTTTATAATCTGAAACACGTAAAACAATCATTTGGCATCAAAATCGACATTGCAAACATAAATAAATGAAAAAATAAAAAAAAATAAAAGAACTTGGTCCCATTACATAAAAATAGCTTTAAACCTGACCTGACAGAACGCATTGTTACTGTGATGGGTTTTTGAGCTTGCAAGATTCAGCATAAGTGTTTTGGATAAAGTGAAGTTCCCAGTCTTAAGAGTTGTAAATGCCATCCAGTTCTGTAAAATGAAATGGCTAATAATTGGTAAGTAGGTCATCAAATTAAAAGAATCCATTCACTTATTCATTGATTTATTCTTCAATCGCAAGTTCATCATTCATTTCTTCAGTCTTTTGGTCAGTCCGTTAGGAACACAATCTACCTATCAGTCAGTTGGAGGCCAGTTAGTAGGTCAGTGAGCGAGTGAGTAATTGTTCAGTCACTCGATTCGATTCGTTAGTTCTCCATTGTTGTATCCGCACTAAAAGTGTCGAAGCCGTCAAAGCAGTCTAACTCCGGATCTTATGCTGCTGTTGGAGGGTTTGCACAACTCGCTCAGGCAAATCAACCAGAGGTACTAGGACTCTATTCTTTAATTTAATTCTCTTCCAAAGGGCTGAATTCTATCACAGCGACGCTCTATGCATGTAATGCTCTAGCGAGAGGTACCAACGCTTTAAAGGGATCCTCCAATGTTTTCAAAAATATCGCTTAAAATGCTCTTTAAGTGTCCGAAAGTAGATTTTTCGGACAGAAAAATGTTCTCTCCCCTTAGATTTTTTGTTTTGGCCTCTCAAAAGAGGCCTTCATGACCAGTTCGAACGTCTCGCGGTCGCCATTTTGATCGGCGCGCAAGGCTCTCTGGGGTGATGACGTAAAATGGTTGCTCGATTCCCTTGCTCTCTGTAAAATTGATAGCAAAATGCCGCATTGCGTTGCTTTTGAGTGTAGTATTCAAGCTAAAAACAGGAAAAACGATCCCAAAATTCGTTTCCACAATTTTCCGAAAGATGCAGCGATTCGACGAGCTTGGATTCATGCTGTTGGAAGGACATCCTTGCCCAAAGACTCACGTCTTTTTTCGAAGCACTTCGAACAGCATTGCTTTGAAGAGTCTTACCCTTTTCCTGTTTTTAGTTTTAGAGAGCCTTGCGCGCCGATCAAAATGGCGACCGCGGGACGTTCGAACTGGTCATGAAGGCCTCTTTTGAGAGGCCAAAACAAAAAATCTAAGGGGAGAGAACATTTTTCTGTCCAAAAAATCTACTTTTGGACACTTAAAGAGCATTTTAAGCGATATCAGTTCAAAAACAGTGGAGGATCCCTTTAAGTAGGAAAACCGTAGACATGTTTGGGTTTGCTGACCGTCAGAGATTCCTTAGTGTAACCGTTTATTTTGCAAAAAGGGGAAAACTGGGTGGCCCTCACCGAAACACTCATCGAGTGTCAAGGAACCGATTGGACGCTAACAGCTGCGCACAGGAATCGTGCACGCAAACAGGAACTTCAGTGTGGGTAGAACTCAAGGTCAGCTTTATCAACGCAAACACGACCATCTGTGAAACTGTCTAATTGTCTAACACGGTTATAAGGAAATCCGCGAAACGAGCCAAAAAAACATAAATCTACCGAAACAACACGTAGGCGCAAAAGGCAAGGCTCAACAAAAAAAAAAAAGGCTTAACTGGGAAAGTCTCAAAACAACAACTTCCAATTAACCTCACTACACTACCTTTACTGCTCCATTCTTGGAGTAATATAGTGGCCAGTGGAAAATAACTCTACCGTTGTAACTTGTCCCACCTCCGTGCAAATTGTTTGGACATTCCAGCCCCTGGCTGCCATAATTTGCCTATGGATTCAAGTTCCAGTTACCAGGATCCATCTTTAGTTACGCGATTTGTTTGTAAACTGAACTCAGTTCAATTACCTCAATGTTGGTAGCGTTTACGACAAATGATTGACAAGTTTGTCACGATTTTGTTTACTAATTCGATTTTGCAAAGCTTGTACCTAGGAGAAATTTTGTCCGCTCTACATTTGAAAATCTGTCAGCTTTGGCCAAAATTTGTTAATTCGCGACTAACCATCCGCACTTGTAAAGTGTTGGTAATGACAGAAAATTTTTGTAGATAACCGGCCTTTTTTTTTTAGTGCGGATAGGCCCTAGCTCAATGAGTTGGGCAATTAGTCAGCTAGTCATTTAGTCAGCCTATCTGTCAATCAGTGGTCGATTTGTCATTTAGCTGGATAATCAGTCATTTTATAATAAGTCAATCCGAGAGTCGGTCTGTTAATTAGTGGGCTATAGAGTTACTTCTGTAAGTCATGAGCGAGACAGCCAATCTTTCATTCAGAGAATAAAACGGTAAATTAAAAGATGACTGGATGATAAAGAAAGGTACCTCAATGAAAAGGGAAGAGCACATAAATAAACTCTCGAATACTGAAGTTGAAATAATTTACTTACCATCCGGATTTCTTTATGCAGCCCATCATGA